TGTTTAATGTAAGATCTGAAGTCTATTGTTCCGAATATACTGTCAAATTATTGGATTGAATGGATGGCTTAAGTCAACGCAACACATCGATGATCTGCCAAAGGGGATGTCCCCAGACTTTTTCTGGGAAACTGCCTTTTGGGTGTTAAACAAGTGAAGAAACCTGGAAACCTCTTCATGGGCTGCCCGGTGGTGAGGCGCGAAATCCGTAACTAACTACACTTTCAGTGGTTTTATCCACTCGACTATTGATGGGCTCGTCTCCAGATTGGGTGCCTACACCCAGTGGTGATATTCAGCGGGTTCGCACAGGTTCGGCCGGACCCGTTGTTAACATTTTCAAAGTTTTCCGAACCCGTTGTTAAACACACGTAACATTTCTCGGTGATTCTGTTTCTTTTAAAAAATATATTAAAATATACGTATTATACTCTATAACACTACTAAACTAGAGCCTTATACCCTGTTCGCCTAGTGCAACCTCCATCGACCGTTTCAATCTCGACTAAAACGAACGACTCGAGAGAGTTCTCGAAACTAGATCCAGTCATAACAGAGATCCCACAATCCCACCGCGCGAGAAAATACAAGATGTCTGCAGAACACGTGTCGGGCTATCAACAGCGAAATAAGAAAGATTGTATTTCGAGAGACGATGACATCTGTCTATTATTATAATAATACCTAACGATAAAATAAATGATTTAGAAAAGTTTTTCTTGTTTAACTGCTTTCCCTACGACTTTTTCTGATTAAAAAAAGCCAATTTTTATGTTTATAAAATATTTTGAATGAAAAATATTAAAATATGTACAAAATAAACCATTTTGAACACTCTTTTTTATTATTTATAAAAAAAATATAGTTCTGGCATAAACAATGTTAAATTTTAACTGACTTAATTTTGCGAACGCATCTTTTTTATTTATATGGATATCTTAAGGTCAGTTTTTGCGCTAATGTTGCTAATGCACCATTTGAGCGGAAAAAAAAATTGTTAAAGAAAAATTTTCTGTTAGCGAACCCTTTGTTAAATATTTCGAATATCACCACTGCGGCTACACCTGCACAACAGCCATATTTCTGGTATGCGAATCCAAGCTTCGGGATACAACCTTTCTTCCCAAAGGGACAAATTTAAGCACACAGTCTGCCTTTTTGGGGCTAGGACAGTATTTAGACATTTATTATTAGGGCTGTGGAGGCTATTTTTCCGACTAATACCTATGACTGATACTGATAGAGCATATAAAGTGCCAGTCAAGAAGGCTGACTCTCTTCACTCATTTTCTTTATCCTTTATAACCATTCTTTATACTTCTGTGTTTCTCTTAATTCCGAAAAAATAAAAAATAAAAAAATATATTATTATGGCTTTTTATAGTGTGATATATATAATCTGATGATGGCCACAAATGCAGTCAAAAACGTTAGTTGGTTATTAAAGAGATCCGTTAGCGGATAAGTCGATAGGATTTTTAATTTCATTTTTGGAAAAGTAATTTATGGAATGTTTCCTGTGTTAAACAGATAGAGAGTGATTCATACAAACGTAAAGTTAAAATACGTACGTCAGTGATAAGGCTTATTAACTGTCACAGAAGATTTTCAAGGTCAAGAGAGACAATTGGTGGAATCAGCCGTCAATGCTGATCCACATTTCGCCAACTTTTTATCTACCGTATATATGAGCCTATAAAAGTGAATGCAAACGGACGACAAAATCACGTACTGTATATAAACGCTTCATAAAAAATATTTGCCAGTAAGTTTTTAAATTTTCTTATTATTATAGTTATTAATACAGAGATTAATTGAATCGATGAGAACGGTAAAAGCCCACAAATCCTCATTTTAAGACAGTATATGGCTTAGTTTGGTGGGATACGGCAACGCAACACGTAGAAGATCTACTCTTGGAAAAACTTTCTATGGGAAACTGGACCCCATTTAGATGTTGCAAGGTAAAGAAAATTCCGCGTAGCCGGCCCCGTTGGTGAGGCGCATTCGACGGTTCTATCCATTTGGCCATTGATTAATATTGAAAAAATAGCTTTAGTTTTCGGGTATCGTCAATGCCATTAATTTAAATTTTTTTTGTCAAATTTAAAACCTTATGCTAATCCAAATGAATGTTCGTATATGCTTATGATTAAAAGTTTGGAAAAAATTTAAAATAAAGCCACTGGACTTGTATTGTCTTTTACTTTAAACAACTTTAATTCGGTTTTCATCTGGTCTAGTGGCTTTCTTTTTTTAATTAATATTTCCATAGTGACTACGTGACGTTCTATTATCGAATTGGAAGTAATCTTATTTAGAACGTATCGCTAATCCATATCCATACTACTATATAAAGAGACAACGTATTTTCCGTTTGTTCAACCAACCGCGAAAACTACTGAACCAATCGTTACCAAATTTTAACTGTTGCATCTTTATGATCCCCAGAATGTTTACCACTAATCAAACCTGCAGATTATTCATTAAGTAAATAAAACTGCAACGGATTTCTGTCTATCTATTTGTCTCTCTTTACTAGATGGCGACATATGAATTAGTACTTCCTGATAATAATGTATTGTTGAAGTTTACTATTATATTTGAAGAACTGACATTAAATTATAATTAGTTAATTAGCAAAATCTTCGAGGCATTAAAAAAGTGACGTCATCATGCTAGATTGGCAGTACGTCACTGTACGTGTATATATGACGGGTTTTCGAATCGTTACGTATTGTGTTCGTGATTCGTTAGGCCTAACTGTATTTGCGTGCGTTTTATTTTTTTGTGTGAGCGAAGATTATGCCAACTCTAAAACGACAAATTCTTGGCGCAAAACACTCTGAAGTGCTTTCATTTATGACACTCTAGACAATTCATCATTCGCTAATATTGGGTCTATAGATAAAGTATGTGGGTATTGCAGTGGTGGAAGAATGAATCATAGGGGATTTGCTGCCCTTCTGGCAAAGTTAAACAGGATGTTGTACTTGCTCCCGAACTTTCTCTGTCACTATTAAATGGGACTCATCTTGACACTAAACATTTTTTAAAGCATAATAGGGCCTTCCAAATGACAAGTTTTGGTGCCACTGAAATACTTGAAAGAAATTTCATGCCAACATTCAAAATTGAAGAACAGATATATCATCTAATAGAGTACCATTAATCCCGACAAACTACCCATTCGAATATAAATGACTACAATTTCCAGTCGGTCTATGCTTTGCAATGACTATTAACAAGTCTCATGGCCAAAGCCCAAGAGCTGTGGGACTTGATCTGGGATGCAGTTGCTTTTCACATGGCCAACTCTATGTTGCGTGCTCACGTATTAGTAGCTGCAAATCATCTGTTCATTTGTGGTTCTGATGATAAAACACGAAATGTTGTATATCGAGAGGTTATTCAATAAGTTTATCTAGAAAATATTCCACACCTTTAATATGAATATAATGAATCTGTAACACAATTCTCTGAAGATATACTCTTCAGGTAAGTAAATACAATTTCACCAAATAAATACCTCCCGTCAACACGGGTACAGTACATACAATCCCTCTTTGTTTTATCAAGGGGGAAAAAAACTCGCTAATTTGTCGAAAAAATAATGCCTATGGGAAAATGTAAGAGTAAAATTGGTCAGATAAATTCTAGATTTAAAAGAATAAGAATGACCGAAACCTCGGAAGACCGTAAAGTGCGACTTGAGCAACATCGAGTAAGAATGGCTTTGATAAGGGCTGCAGAAACAGCTTCATTACGTCAAGCCCACCAGTTTCGTTTCCGGAACACTGGCGGCGGTTTAAAATGTGTTGCAAAGACGACGATCGTCTATTTCCGAACGCCGTCTAAACGAACTTCGGAAAAAAGTTGACTTTTACTTTCTTCGCCGTTACTCTCCTTTTTTATAAGTTGTCGGGGCCGATAGGGTTATTCGTTTGTGACGTTAGAAAAAACTCCGATAAGGTTGCCTGCTATATTCCGAAAGCTTCCGGAATGTAAAATCTTAAGGCCGTCGACAACCATTGTTCGGGAATTAATGATAATCCTTCTCCATTTCGATGTTTAATTTAGTCGCCGATACGGTTTAAAATACGAACGAATACAAATTTAGGAAATTTATACCGAATTTGAAATTCGTCTTCGGAATAGATTTTTAAGGAATTATTCTGTTTATTTTAGTGTTATGTGACGTCATTTTTAATGGAATTAGTAAGCTCGGAATGCTAGCTTGTTCGCTATTGAGCATTGCACTAATTCAATATGGCTGATCCCATGAAAACATGACTTTCTTGTACAAAGAAATGAAAATGGAATTATTTTTCAAAAACGAAACGGCAGAAAATTTTTTTTATTAATAAATTTCAATTACAGTTGACCGTCCCATAACACTGTTGATAATTCCGTTTTATATGAATTGCATGTTGTACGAGTCACTTAGATTTTACAAATAGGTGATCCGTTCACAGCCCGGCACAGCATTAGGTTCTGTCATATGACGGAAGAATATGACTTCTGTCATATGACATAGAACCTAAAAGACACAGCAACACAGCCAATTGTAAAGAAATAATTTTTGTCGAATTTTTACTGACTTGTATCTTTACTTTCCAAATATGACTCATTTATAGTTATATTTTTTATGAATATATTTTTAGAAGTTATATCAAAGTGTAGATTTCTCACTTAACATTTGGTAAACAATAGTAAAATGGCAATTTTATTCCCAAATAACTATTAAGTATTTTTAATAAAATTGTAACTCATTTTCCTGATAAAAGGATTTTCATATATTTATTATGCTGTAAAAATAAGATAATTATAATTAACATTAAAATATTCTTTTAATAAACTTTGTTTCTAATTTAACAATAAACTTAAAATATGTTAAATATATAATATACGAAATAGATTTACTTTATTTTACAGTTAAATAAATAATGAATTCTGCATCACAGAAAAAACTGAATCCAAGATGTACAATTACAAAACTAAACTATACAAAGAAAATGGAAGAAACAACAAGCAAAACTCTAACTTGTGATTTAAATCATTTAAAGAAACTTAATTTCTACTTAAATGAAAAAAATAGAAAAAGAATAGAAAATTTACAGCAATTGATTTCTACATCATCATCTGAAGATATAAAAAATGTTTTAAATCGTCAATATGAACTATTAATGAAGAAGCAGAGAAAATATTTCATTTCCTCTACTAATATGCGATATAAAGAAACACCCTCAGATCTGAAAAAATTTGCTATGAATAACCTTGCATTTGGGGACGAATGTTGGATATCCACATACAAAAATGAAATAATTGATTCTTTAAATAAGCATCAAATCATAATTATTAAAGGCGAGTCTGGTTATGGGAAAAGTACCAGAATACCATTATACGTTCAAGAGATAAATGAATTTTGCCAAGGAAAAAAAATTGCTAGTTGTCAACCTAATTATATCAATATATTAAGTTTATCATCCTATATGTCAACTTACTACAAAAATAAACTTAACTTGAAAATTGGATATGTCTTTGGAAAGGAGAATACTGTAAATAACGAAACAAACATAGTATTTACAAACTGTCAGAGTCTGTTACAAGAATGTATTCGTACTCCATATCTGTCAAAATATTTTTGTATAATAATTGATGAATATTTTCTTCAGAGTGCAGAGGCTGACTTGCTACTTTTGCATATGAAAGAAATACTTCAACAAAGATCAGATTTCAAACTGATTCTTATTAATCCTGCATTTGATATTACTGATTGTAAAAGCTATTTTAAAGATAACCAAGATGTAATTACAATGATTTCGCTACCATCCTTAACATTTCCAGTGAAAACAGTTTATAACACTATTAGCAGCGATAAAACTAAATGTGTAGAAAAATGTGCACAATTAATAAAGTTTATTAACAATAATAAACTGGATGGAAACATACTGATTTTTCTCCCTAGTACAAAAGAAATGGAAAGCTGCTGTGAAATGGTAAAAAATGTATTAAAAGATAGAGTTGAATATCATACTTTACATAACATGATGAATCAAGAAGAAATATTTAATTTGTATACATTTTCAAATATTAGAAGGAAAGTTATTTTTGCAAACCAATGTGCTGAATCCTTATGGTTACCTAATATTTCTTATGTTATAGATTCCGGTAAGTTAAAAGAAAGTAAATATCAATCAGAAAAAGAATCATATATTAGTAAATTCAACTCAGAGAGAAGAAAGAACCTTGCTGGGTGGTCATTAAAAAACTGTTGTTATAGAATTTACACTTCTGATACTTTGGAAGAAATGCTGGAAATGCCAATACCAGATATTTTAAAAATAGAACCAAGCCAATTACTTTTAACCTTATATCGTTACAAAATACCAAATCCTATTGATGCAACATTCATATCTTTGCCAGGTAACGAACATATTAAAGCAGGATTAAATAAATTAATAAAAAGTAAAGTAATTAAATCAAATTCTTTGACTACTCTCGGAGAAGATATGATTAATTATATGCCCATGCAAACTTCTCATGCAAAATTAATTGCATTAGGTAGAGAAAGGGGAATTGAATTTGAAGCTGTAATGATTCATACAATATCGTCACTTAAAAATCCAATTTTTATGACTATTGGAGAATCAAAAGATATTGGTAAATTAAAATTTTTTCATCGTTATGGTGATTATTTTGCAGTTTTCGATGTTTATTTTAATTGGATAAAACAAGTTAATAAAGAAAGATGGTGTGAAGAAAATGGAATTAATCACACTGCAGTAACTTATTTGCATGGAAAAATAGATGATACATGTAAAGTTTTTGGAATAAAACCTAAAGAGATTTTGTCAAATCTTGATGTAGTCTACGAATTAATATGCGAATGTTTCATTGATAACTTTTGCACTTACTCGGGTCATTC